TGGCAGCAGATGGGCTATCCACCACAGGGAGGCAGACGTGCGACTAATGCGCACACAGGACAGTTAAAGATGCGTCGAATCGATGGAGGTGGCTGGTTTTTTTTTCAACAGTTGGGTCGGGTTCAGTTCGAATAAATACCTTATTTATTATTCTGATGATATGAGTTCTGGGTACCATTGGAAAGCGCGCAGAGCAAGCTTTCGATTGGTGCCACTTTCGTGGCTGTGCGATCACTATGCGCTCCACGATGAAGCGGGCAAAGAGGGGTGGTTCGTTCGACAGCTCAGACCAAATGTCAACGGGAAGCGAGATATTGGTGACGCAAACAATCGACGGTTCTGCCAACCAGGGTTCGCCACCAGTTTTGGCGCGCCGGACACTCACGGGACAAACCGAAAAATCTCATGGAGTGGGAAATGCCGATGCAACTCAAGCCAGCAGCAGCACACCCCAAGATGGTGATGATGATGATGGTGCGTTAGTGGTGGAGAAGGAATACTTGCGACTGCAGCACTTTTGTGCGTGGTACGATCACCGAGGTCTTGAGCCGATGCGACCACCAGATGGCACCGTGCTAACGCGTCGTGGGCGAAAGCCCCACCCAGCGGCTGATGCCCGTGAGAAGGAGGAGGCGTCCCGAGTCCTGGCTCGCGCGGAGGCGGAGGCGTGTTTCACCAGGAACATGGCAAAATGCAAGTGCGAGCCACGCTGCCACATGCCGGATGCTCTTGACTGGGCGATCGCGCATCGGGCCCTAACCGAGGAGAGACGGCTGAGCATTGTGCGCAGCATTTTATCCGCAATTGCTGCACCGCCAGGGCGGTACAACGCGCTTCTTGAGACGCACGGCCCATCGGCACCAGCCCGCACCACTGTGGCCTACTGCTTCCGCGGCACTCGCTTGTGTAAGGCCGCCTTCTGTGCGATCATGCAAGTGTCAGACGTCACGGTGAAGCACCTTACAAGAGACCTTGCCCTGCGCATAGACGCCGAGAAGGTGGAGAGCAAGCGCGGCACAAGCTCGTTGGGCCGGCAAACACTCCGTGTCCGTGCGGCCGTCGACTTTATCCTGGGCTACGCTGCATTCTTCGGCGAACCGTGCTCATCCGCACGCGGCTCCAGTCCGGGTGCACCCATCATCCACCTCCCACGAGAAACCACCAAAATGGCCTTACACAAGGTGTACAAACAGGCATTCCCTTTGTGGGTGACTGTCTTCAAGCACCACAACGACGTTTCGGCTCCCGTGACGCAGCTCTCCTTGCAAGGCTTTGGACGTGTGTGGCGCGAGCATGTGCCACAGGTCCGTGTGCTGGCGACGGGATCCGACTTCTGTGACTTCTGCACCATGGCCAGGGAGGCAAGCAAGTCTCCAAACGTGCGCCCGGAGCTGTTGCAGGAGCTTGATCGGCACATCACGCAGGCGAAGGCAAGGCGCAGCATTTACAACGCACTCCGCGCCAGCGCACTGCTTCCCGACTGCGACTTCACGCATCTGACCATCGACTTTGCGCAGCACTACCTTCTTCCGTCGTTTAACCGAGAGCCGGCGCGCATCTTCTACGTGACTGGGCTCAAGGTGGACATTTTTGGTGTCTGCGTCAGCAACACACATGTGAACACCGTGTACCCTCTGGTTGAGGGGCGATGGCCGGGCAAGAAGGACTCGAACTGCACCGTCAGCCTCCTGAACCACACATTATGCACTGCAGTGCCGCCTCACAGGAAGCTGCATCTCTCAGCTGACAACGCTGCGTCGCAGAACAAGAACCGCAACATGGTACGCTACTGTGCCCTGCTTGTGCTGCTGGAACGCTACGATGAGGTGACGCTGCACTTCCTGCTTCGCGGGCACACCAAGAACGTGTGTGACGCACAGTTTGGGGTGTTGAAGCGAGCGGTGAACAGGGAGGGCGCGCTAACGCCGCCGGAGCTGGAAGAGCGCATTCGCACCTGCACCAGGGGGTACACAGCGTGTGGCAAGACGGATGAGGTGGCGTTTGTGGATTGGGGTGAGATGTTTGACCGCTTCTTTGTGAAAGTGGTGCCTGGGGTGAGTGAGTACCACACCTTCAGCTTCTCGGCTGCATTCCCTGGCAGCGTGATGGTGCAAGACGGTGACGGACCTGGCAGTTTAGTGCATTTGTTGAAGCCTGATGTGGACCCTGCGTATGTTCTCTCCACATACCCTTCCCTCCACCCCACCCCTCTTCCCATCACCCCTCTCAACCAACTTCCCTCCCCTGATCGTGGTTCTGCCAATCGCGAGGACTACTTGCGAAAGAATCTTGACCGGCACTTTCCTAATAATCCAAATTTTTTTCACAATTTGTTTGGTTCAACCCCTGGTCCATCCTGATCCACGTCCATATTGGGTGGTGAGGGTCATCTCACTGCCAGAATAAAGAATCGCTTGTATCTCAGCCAAGCAAGGGCTGGCGAACCTGACTCCCCGACCAATCGATGGTACTCCGCATGCCGCACAACTTTGGTCTCCACACCCCAAACTCGCCACCAAGCAAAGAATCGCCTCTATCTCAAAACTCGTATTTTCGAACTTAGTATTTGTTCGAACTGAACCCGACCCAGTTTGTGTTTGCGGAGGACAGCGAGCAGTGTGTGCGATGTGTGCTGTGTGTGTGTGTCTGTGTGTGTGTGTGTGTGTGTGTGTGTGTGTGTGTGTGTGATCTCCTGTCACCTTTCATGCCTCATAGATCATGGCTACGGGCGCCATCCCCGTCATTGTCGTCGATCACTACGTGCTGGTGCGTATGGATGCCACTTGGTGTGTGTGTGTGTGTGTGTGTGTGTGTGTGTGTGTGTGTGTGTGTGTGTGTGTGTCACATCACTGTGTGGATGTACCCCTCCCGTCACTCATGGTGCTGCAATGTGATGTTGTGGTGTTTGCTTTTTGTACACTTGCAGCCCTACCAGGACCTGCTGGACTGGGGGACGTTCAGCATCCGCATTCCCGAGCACAGGCTCCTCGAGGTGTGGTGACAGATCGGTGACATGGGGATGTGAAGTGATGCGTGAGGAGGGATGTGGTTTAAATGGGGATTGTGGTCGGTAATAGCTTATATGCCACGTCGCTCACACACACACACACACACACACACACACACACACACAACTGTGTTCAGCTTCCGAGGATCCTGCGGTCAATCCCTGATGAGGTGGTGGAGATGATGCAGAGACGCGTTGTGTTTGTGTATGGGGAGTTCTTCAAGTCCCTCTCCACCCAAGTGCACACAGGTGAGGGAGTGAGTCATTGGGACAGGCGGCTGTCGAGTGAGGGTGGTGATGTTTGTGGTGTGGTGTGTGCGTGGCTCGCTTGTTCTCGTGTCCGTTCAACCACTCTCGTCATCTGCCAACTCGTGTGTCTTGTCTGCGCTATTTGCTGCTGTCAGCGCCGCTGGAGTCTGCCAGGATCAACCTGTTCATTGGCGACAACGCGTGGCAGGTGAGCGTGTTTGTGTGTGTGTGTGTGTGTGTCGACGTGCGGGTTCTCTTTTCTACCCACCCCACACGCCGTCGCCACCGCCTCCTCATTTTCTTGTGTTTGCTCACATCCTTCCCTTCCCATCCTCAACACCACCATCACTGCCCTTCACCCTTGCTTCTCCTTCCTTCTGCTGTCGCCGCACACAGAGGACCCTTGAGCCAGCAGATGTCACCCCCTCCTGCACCAACCACCACTGCTCTGATGGGATGAACAGACGAGCGTTGCCATGCGATGACCATCTAGCCACGCTTGTGCGGCTGTGGAAGCAACAGCAGCAACTCACACCACAAAGCAAGCAAGCGATGAGCAACGTGAGTGCACCACTGCATGTGTGTGATGTGCACAGCGGCAGTGTGCGTGTTTTGTGGTCGCTGTCTGTGTTGCCCCTGTCTCCCCTTGTTGTCCCACATCAATGTGCATCCATGTGTGTGGTGTGGCTGCCTGTATTGCTTTGCTTGATGCGCTGTCTCATTCTTCGTTCTCACACACAACTGCTTGCAGACCTGCACATTCTCCACCTTGCAGCTGCTGCTTATCTTCCCCTCTCTTCCTCGCCCTCCCTCGCGGCCATCACAACAACAACAACAACAGCAGCAGCCAACACACCCTCCACCGCCGATGCAGCAGCAGCAGCAGCAGAGAATGCACCACCACCACCACTTGCTGCTGAACACATTCCCCGACCAACCAACCAGCCAACCAACCCATCGCCCGTTGCTGATGGCGGAAGCTGGCTGCCTGCAGCTGGTAACAGGAGGCGACAGCACAAGTTGCATTTTCGGCGGGCAGCAGCAGCAGAGGTGAGGGCGTGAAGCAGAGGGAAACGGAGAGGAGTTGTGTGTTGGATGGATGGATGGATGGGATGAGGTGGGGTGGGGGATGCTGGGTGAGTCTGGTGTGGTGTGACTGGCTGGCTGGTGACAGAGGATGGTGGTGTGTGGCGGTGGTGTGGGGAAGATGAATGGATGGATGGATGGGGTGCAGCATGTCTTGTTCCTTCCCTTCTGTTTTCTGTTTTCTCTCTCTTCCCTTTCTCCTCCTTCACCCACATGCATGCACAACATCAGCAGTGGCATCAGCAGCGGTGTAGCTGCGCACATATCCATGCTCCCTTCCTCCCTCCCACACACTCACCATATTGGTGCTCGCACACAACCACACTTACAGGCGATGCACACGCACAAGCAGGATGAGGGAAATGTCAAGGATACTTGTCACGCGTGCCAGCTGCACTCGCCTCACACATGGTATGTGGGTGGTGATGAGTGGTTGGTTGGTTGGTGTGTGATGGAGTGTGGGGACGGTGCTGGGGCGCGATGAAGCGAACAAGTGGAAGAAGGGTTGATGGAGATGATGGTCACACACACTGACACACACGCACACGTGTGAATGTGGTGTCCATCACTCGTTCTGCTGTGCTGACGTGATGGCCTGCTGTCTGCCTATTGTGTTCTATTCCCATCCACATTCCCTGCAACCACGCACATGCCATCATGGATGCTTTGGTTGGCGCATGGCGCATGTGTTGGTGTTGCTGCTGTGGGTGCTTGCTTTTGCTGTGCCTTGTGCACCAGTGTAGCTGTGCAGCTCACATGCCATGTGTGTGTGCTTGTGGATGCAGGGAGCGACTGCCTAAGGATCGTTGGAGGATGATGATGGGCGGGTGCACACATGATGGGTTGGGAGGAGCAGCTGTGGACACACACGTCCATGGTCATGGTGGGCACATCCAACCACAGCGACACTGTCAGGCGCAGATGTGTGTGTATGTGTGTGTGTGTGCGGTGATGGTGGGGCGAACAGGAGGAAAGCAAAAGAGAGGGGCCAGCAGGAAGGTGAACACGCTTGCTGTGCTCACATGCCATACCCGTGCCTTGTGTGTGATGGTATCGTTGTGTCTTGTCGTTGTGTGTTGGTTGCATGCGCACCAGGGCCACATCAGAGGAGGGGAAGGAAGCCGCCATGAACGACCCATCAGCATCAACATCAACCTTCCCCATTTCTCTCTCCTTTGTCTCTCTTCCACCTCAGCTCGGCCGTCACCACCGCCCTCACCATCGCCATCACACGCCGGCCGACACCACACTCCGGCCGACGTCAGCCCTGATCTGGCGTGAGGCAGATATTGCACATGTCACTCGCTCTGACGAAGAGGTGAGCAATGTGCGTGTGCGTGCGCGCGCGTGTGAATGTGTGTCAGTGCGGGTGGTTGGATGGGGCTGGCGTGTGGTTGATGATGCTTCGCTGTCAACCTCACCCCTGCATTCTCTCCCATCTTGTGTCTGTGCACACACGTTTCACAGCGTTGAGGAGGCGCATGAAGCAGTGGAACCAACGACGATGACGATGACAAGTGCTGGAGGTGAGAGGCCGACTGATGTGTGTGTGTGTGTGTGTGTGTGGTGGACACGCTGTGTTCCCTCCTTCGCTTCTCACTTTCCTGGTACGTTCTGTCCGCTCATATGTTTTTTCTTCTTCTCGCCCTTTGTGCACTTGGTTTGGACACAGGGCCATGCATCCGTCTGCATCCAACCGACTAACCAAGCAGCTGAGCGAGCAAGCAAAGGGCACGGCGTGGCAAGGGGCCGTTTGTTTTCACCGTTTCCACCATCACCAGAAACAGCTGATGTATTGCTGTATTTGGATGAACTGGCTTTCCGTCTCTCGTCCATCTCCACCTCCTCGACCTCGTCGTCGTTGGTCACCAACAGCAGCGGCTGCGGCCATGGATGTGGAGGTGAGATGAATGATGGTGGTGGTGGTGACGTGGGTGGTGTGTGATGTGTTGGGTGTGAACATCAGCATGTATGTGTTTGATTGTGAAGTGCTGGTTGGATGTCGTTGGGTCTGTTGGTGGTGGCAACGGGTTTTGTTGTCGTTGACAGCCCGATTCTGTGACAACTCACCTCTTTCTCCACACGCACACACAAACAGGATGTGATGTACGTCGATGTGATGTACGTCGATGTGCCGTTGCCTCGCATGACGACGATGATGATGATGGTGAGTAATTTGTGGTGGATGTGGACGGTGCACGCACACGCATGTGCAGATGTGCTGCTTGTGGTGGTGCTTATGGTGGTGGTGTCTGTGTGTGAGGATGTGACATGTGTGTGCACAGGCGGTGATGTGGGTGATGTGAATGAGGCACAAGGAGGTGGGCGTGGTTTGTTTCTGCCATGCTGGCTCACTGCGTCATGTCATTCTTGCTGATTTGCTGTTTGTGCTTGCGCATGTGTGCATGTGTGTGATTTTGCACAGGACGGTGGCCGTTCTCTTCCCAAGCCCCCCATGACACGAGCAGGGCGATACACGCACACACAAATGTGCAAGAAAAGAAGGCACCAGGTGAGACGCTGGGGCTGTGTGTGTGTGTGTGTGTGTGTGTGTGTGTGTGTGTGTGTGTGTGTGTGTGTGTGTGTGTGTGTGTGTGGTGGGGTGATGGGTAGAGTGGTGGCACACACACATACGCACGCACGTACACGCATGTACACATGCATGCCAACACCCCAGAGCAGACATTGGCTGCGGGGTGGTGGCACTGACGTGTGTCTCACATGAATCACACAACTCAATGTGCGTGTGCGTGTGTGCGTGGCTGCAGGCGGACGTGTGTGGGTTCCCCCAACCGAATCCCCTTCCTCCTTTTCCCAACTAATCGACTTTTGCTCTGTGGCATCATCATCATCACCATTTCCCATGAAAGTAGGATCTGTTGAGACGTGACCTACACAGCGGCCAATAACATGTATTGCTTGCGCTGTAGTGAAGTGGATGTGTGCGATGGGGGAGAATATACTGGGATATGATTGATCGCTATCACAGCGAACAGAAAAGCTTGATTTATTAGATCTAGGTGTGTATGTAAGTTAAATGCAAGCGAAGTAGTGGAGGGAAATTAGACTTGTAGTGCACCCCAGAAGGCCTTGAACCGCTAACAAATATTACCGGATGAATAGTGGCCGTATCGGGCGGAGTAATCTACGTGAGAATA